GGATGGTCAGCACTGACTGCCCCAGCACTGCTCCAACAGCAGAGCCCACACAGGCAGGAGCAGATGGATGGCACCTTGCCACCAGCCCAGGCTGGTGTAGGTTCTCCCAGCTCTCTCTCTTTTCCACCGAGCAGGCCTTGTATTCCAGGTCCTCTACTTCGTTTTGGCACAGGGGACAATACCTGCTTGTTCTTAACTTCCAGGCTGAGCCCTGCTCCTCTCTGGATGTGCCAGAGCTTTCTGAGGAGTGAGGCACTGGTGTCCCAGCACCAACTGCTGGGTTTCCTGCACTCAGGCTTGTGGCATCCTCCTTTGGGATCTACCTGAGACTGACCTGTACCCAAATGGGAGGATTTTCCTGGTGCATCCATCCTGCTAGGAAATCAGGTGTGTTTTCTGCTGGGTAGTAATTCTTGCAGGTCCTTTTGTTGAAGGATGACTGCAAGCTGGTAGGATGCTTCTCTCAGAGGAGGGAAGAAAAGCCACAACCTACCTTAGCAACTGCCAGAAGATCATTCTCTCCCCTGCTCCCTGTTTATTATTCTGCCATTAACATTAACATGCCATTACCATTTTGTATGGTAAATGGGAAAATTTCCCAGCATGAGACGATGCTTAGGAGGAATTCTCTCATCTCCTGTGCAGCCTCTGGGGGAGTTGCCAGGTCCTGCAGAAGGAGGGGCAAACCAAAAGCAGGGTCCTCCCAGGGTCTTCTTGCCCTGTTAAAATGTGTCTCCCTGGTCAGCTCCCACTGGATCCCTGGGTTAGTGTCTATTGCTGTGTGTTTGGATATGGAGTTTATGTCAGATGAAGCTCCTGAGAGGGCGCCTATTCCCCTGGCAATAGTGTGGACTTCATACCCAGACATTCTTCCATGGGAGTTGGGGGAGAGGGGTATTTTTGGGGGGCATCCAGCATGGGCAGGGAGACACGGCCTTTAGGGAGATGCTTGCCCAGAGAAGACGTGCAAGGAAGCTCTCTGGTGAGGGCTGGGGTCTGGAAAGAGACAGGCGAGCACTGGGGATTAGCTGGCCGTGAGAAGGGGTGTCCCCAAAAGGAAGCGGGCGAGACAGATTATCGTGGAGGGATGCAGCAGGGAGCTGATGTCTTCCATCTGCTCGGAGGCCGGGAAGCAGGCGGGTCTGGCTCGTGGCCCTGTGCCAGCAGGGCGGATGGACCACAGAGCTGGGGGAGGCGGCTGGTGGCTCGGGGGGCTGGGAGGAGCCGGAGGCACCCGAAAGCCTGGCCGGACTGGGGGCGCTGGGGCCGGGGGCTGGACCTGGGTC